CGCGACGACGCTCGTGCAGTTTGAACAAGTGTGCCCCTGTTTGTTCCGTCCTGCGTGCAAGCGATGGCGAGATGTGTTCGTGTGTGTATAGCGAGATCATCAGGAGGAGGTTGACAACCATTCTCCGCCATGTACGTCGTAATCGCTGCTCGAAAATCGGTTCTTATCTTACACGCATGACTGTCAATGCCTTCCACCTCGCATATCTGGTCCTGATCGATGTCGAACCAGCGCAGTTGAAGGATTGACATATCGCGTAGTGCCAGGGTGTTCATCCCCGTTGCCATACAGTCCGTCACAGAAGACCTATTCTCGACGGCCCTCTTCCTCCTTTTCCTCACAAATCCGGTCTCCTCCTGCAACGCCAGCGACCGGCGCACGTGGTTGACCGTCTGGGTTTACGCTTTCCTTTTGTTCGATGACATGTACGGTTGTTTGCAGAATCTCCTGTGGTGATGCTCCCAAACGTCTGTAGCGAATGTGTCGGTCACACCAGATCGTTCAATACTCGTTCTCGTATGCATAAGATCATGCAACTTCGGGAGTTTCCAATTTGATGGTTCGTATCTTCCCAAGTTCGCTTTGATGGTCGTTACGAAGTCTGTCATCAACGCGTCACATTCGTCGAGGGAAGCTCGAGTGTGTGTTGTGCGCCGAAACAACCGTACATACATTTGCATCAGCTTAACAAAACAAGCGGTAATGCCCTTGCCTGTCGAGCGCGGGGTTATATTAAAAATGAGAAACACGCACACTGTCATCACAGACCGGTTTTACTTCGCCTCGAAGCGTTCCTCTCGAGAAAAAAAATCGTTGCCTGTGGCCACGGGCAGCACAAGTTGGGGATATGTTCGCGTCCATCTCTCACTAACGCATTGCAATCTCGCATCGAGTTCGTTCAGGATCTCTGTTTGCGGTGTGTTCGGCAACTTCTCAAAGGCTGCCGCCCTGAATGCGTCGATCATGTGCAGGAATATGCCGTGTTCGATCGTGTGTCTACGGTCTGGTTGCAATGCAAGGTGGTAGTCTAGCTGAGGATCATCGCCACTCGGCCCCCTGTAGAACCCCCAAAGGCCGTTCTGTTCAACATGCCTATGCATGTCCACCTTCGCCATTCGCCCTTCCGCCGCACGGCGCACGTCATCATCGTCCGCCGTGAACACAGCTGCTGCGAGTTGAGTTTCCAGCGTCTGGGATCTCCTGTTGTCCATGAAATCGGCCACGACATCGAGGTCCGTTTTCAACACATTGCATGTAGGGCATACACCAAACTTCACATTCGTCAGCGCACATCGCTCTGGGTAGTCCTGTATATAGTTGAGGAGGAAAGGGTGGATAGTCACGTCCACGAATCGCGTCTACGGTATCGTGATGCCGTTGTGCGATGCCTCCTTCGCAGCTTGCAAGACCGTCGAAAGGGCCTTGTGGAAGATGACGGCCTTTCGCTTCCTAAATGCGGTGGACTGTAGACCCCATCCTTTGTCACGGGGTCGATGATGAAGCACGGGAAGATAGGCCAGCAGAGTGGCTTCCGACGCGTGGTCGGCTAGCGACATCATAAGAGGGTATGCCGTCTGTTTCTGACGACCRTCTGTGTGTGTCTTGTCGGAGTACAGTGAGAGAGGGATTACATATCTTGAATATCCATTCTCGTCGACACCTTTGTGCGCTCGAATGATTGACTGCGTGTGATAACTGAGCGCCCCGCTGCGCGGACCGGATACACTATTGTCCTCCGACGGCGGGGACACCTCGAGGGAATGAACCGTCTCGCATTTCTGCAACGCGACGTGCATTATCGATAAGAATGCAGTTTGCCAATCGTAGTGCCACAAGACAGCGTGCGCTTCTCGGGGTCAGTCGTCACTACGCAGATCCAACTCCTTCCTACCAGCGGCCTCTGCTAGACTGCCCGCCCATGCGAAGCACTCTCGACAGTTGCGGTACGCAACGTCCGTCGCGCTGAATCTCGGGTCTTTGAAAAGTGAGGGGGAGGGAGAGGGATGTACAAGGTGAGGGATGTACAGGTTGAGCAATTTAGACACACCCACACAGGTTGTTTGTACAACAACTGTAATGCCATGTGCTATGCATGTGTGGCATCATCCCTGATGTCTGACGTGGTCTGTCGTGCTGTGTGGGTGTGTGTGTGTGTGGTGCCGTGGCCGAGCACTAACTATTGCATACCCTGTTGACAAGCCGGGGTGCAAAGTCTCTCCCCAAGTTATGGCCATTGCGCCATGCAGGAGGCAGCTCAGGTTCAGTCCTCATGTCAGCAATGTTGCTAGCACAACCTCTCTATTCACCAGAACAAACCATCCCTTGCCGACACGTGACCATTTTTTCCCCTTGTTGCAGGATTGCATTATGCTGGTCACTGCAGCATACTGCATTGCACCATCAGGTGTCGCCCCCTTGAACACCACACGCAGCACGTTGTGCGGATCGGGAAATACTCGTGCCAACTTGAGGATTGCATGTGCCCAACCTTTGGTTACTTGTCCACAGGCCGTCTTGAGATCGTAGTACACATCATTGTCGTCGTCCTCTTCGTCGCTGCTGACGTCGCTGCCGCTCACCTCCACGTCACACCCCTCGTACTCTTCCTCATCCTCCTCCTCTGCATCATCTCTGTGCTCTGCATCGTCTCTGCGTTCTGCCAACTATTGTTCCCCTAAGAAAAAACCCTCACACATGTCCATATACACCAAGTCCTTTGTCGTTGATGTGTGCATGGTAGACACGTCGACCACCATCGTCCCACTCGTATCTTGTGCTGCTGATGTCTCCCCGGTTTCTTCAATGACCGGTAACCTTGTTTCGCTGGCAATCAGCCTCTAACCCTCTTCCCTTTCTCTCTGTCTCTCGACATCGCAGGTTGCAAGACCAAGCCGCTCCAGAGCACAACCCAACAAGCCCCCCCACAATGGTCTGCCACTAATGATCTCCTTTCCTGCTGACGCTGACACAAAATCAATGAAATCTCGACCCTGCACGGGGTACTCTGTGACTTCGTGCAAGGCCTCATGAATGACATTCCTGTTGTCCTCTGTCTTGTTCATGAGGTCACATAGCTGATCAAGCAGAACGTATTCCACACCGTCTGCAACAATCACGGGAAGCTCTTGAAAGTCCTGGGGCGGTGTTTGTGTCATGT